AAGTATGAGTGATGAAATGACAAAAGCAAAATTATTTGGATAAAATTTAAATAAATTTCAACCAATTATGCACATAGAATCAATCATACGAGAATATTTCGTATGAATTTAATTTAGCCACTTACGTCAAATTCATCGACAATTCACAAACCTCTTTGAATATATGAAATCTATCAAGTGTTAGAGATTTAATGAGAATGTCGGCCAATTAATTTTTCATATTCATAAATTCTAATACAATATTGTCCTTTTGGGTTCCTTTAGGATGCAATAGATGTAATGTCTTAGTACCACTAAGATATCTAAAGATTTGTTTTACGGCACCAAGGTGTGATTCTTGAGTATTGGGTTGAAATCTAGCATATTATCACACACTAAACATAATATCCAGTCTACTTGCAATTAAGTAAAAGAGAAATCCGGCCATACCTCGATATTTTATTATGTTTGTGGAAGTACCTTGATCATCTTTGTCCAATTTGATTGATAAACTCATTGAAGTATTCATTGATTTCAGTTATTTCATTTCAAACTTATTGAGAATGTCCATGATGTATTTTGTTTGACTCCATTGCTTAGGTATAGATTAATCACTTGTACTTCGGAAGATTCTTCTTCATCTTGTTACATATTTGCTTCTTCCTCATGTTGATCTTCAACATCTTTATGATATTTTTTGTTTTGATTTTAAATTTTCATTTGCTCAAAAGAAATCTTCAAACCAATAATTTCAATGTCAATGATTTTTATTATTTTGTTTTTTTTTTTTTTTTTTTGCATTATCTCCAAAAGTATCATGATCACCATCCTTTATTTTGAAGCTTGACAATAAAATTTGATCTCCGATCATGTGCTTTGAGCATCCAATATCCAAATCCATTTGTTCTTTATTTTCTTTGGTACCTACAAAAATAATTTAATTTTTTGGTCTTTGGTACCCATACAACCTTGGGTCCTTGGTAGTTAGTGTTAGTTGACTTTTGAATCCACTTGTAGTGGTCCTCAAGGTACAACCTCTTTTTCATCGAACAATTAAAAGTTACATGCCCATTTTTGTTGCAAGAACCACATGTGACATTTGGAATAGGGAAAGTAGAGGTTTTAACAAAAAAATTTATAAAAGACTTTTGTTTTAAAAATGGTTTGTATCCAATTATTCTTTTATCAAAAACACATTTTTGTTCACCAAGTATTCAATCAATTTTTTCTTGCCTTGAGTAAATTTGTGAACAATTTGAGTCAAATCTAAAATATTTTCTTGCGCTTATGCATTCATTACCAAATATCAAAATTTTAGTACATTTACATTTTATCTAAGAAATCAAGTTTTTGATCTTGCTCCGAAGTTTGGCTCCTAAATTCTTGAATGTATAGCTTTGATCTTGACTTTCATCACGAGTCCGATTTGTGATGATAGATTTTGCTTTATGACGACCATCGATCAATTTTCCATCGCATTATTTGGAAAACCATAATGACATGAATTCAACTTGTTAGTAAATAAGGTTAACTTATTGTTATAATCAAACCTTTAAGGTTATAATCAACCATAGATCAACAATAATATATTATTTGAAATCACGAAAAATCATGCTTGTTCTATTGCAAAAACTGTTGGATGGGTCCAGATTTCTTAAGAGCATTATTGGATATTTTTTAAGATTAACTTATGTGGTGGGATACCATTTAGCAATAATATATTTAGGTACCCCTCTTGGTAAAATTGGTTTGCATCATCAATTGCTTCGTCTAACTTAGCAAATTCTTCACCTTCTCCATAAAATAATCCGATTAGTTTGTCATGTCAACATACTCATTTTTGTTTAAAAGAATTCCAAGTTGTGTCATATAATAAGAAGAAACTGCATTTTCTGTTAACCTGGGAATATCGCATTGATTAAGTATAACTCCTAAGTTTCAGCATCATCACTTGATATAACTATCTTCTTTGGTAAGTTGATGAAGTCATCCATTATGTAAGGTTCTGTTTTATTCCCAATTTGGATCAAGTATTGTCCAAATTGATTGTTATTTTGAGCACACATGTTTTGATTTAGTTGCAACTTTTTCATTTTTACTCAAAGATACGGTTTAACCAAACTTTGGTTAATTATTTGTTATCTTGTTGCTTTTGGGACTACATGTAATACTTATCGAAAATATCCTTTCAATACAAAATCTGTCTACCAAATGGTGTAAATTGTCTAAGATATCTCATAAAGTTTTATCAACAGTTTCTATTGTGTTTTTGTAGGCCATTGATACTTCATCCCATATTACGAACTTTACCAATCGAATCAATTTTGATGTAGTACTTTGCTTTGATATACTACTTATCTGGAGTAAAATCTTGAATGGGCAGTTATGCCCGTTGGCATTATTTATGCTATTATACCTGAAGTTGTTGTTGCAAGTCTATCATCTTTTGATATCGAACCCTTGCCCGTAAAGCACAATAAAAAAAAAAAAAAATTCTTATACCGTCAGGTTCATCGACAAAAAAACACATTTCCATTTTCACTGCTAATTCTTTCGAGTATAATATCAAGAGCATGCTTTTTATCTAAATTTAGTTAAGATATTGCTTGAATATCAACATTTGAGGACTTCGACAGAGCGTTTATCTAAAATTTCCTTTGCATTAGGTTCATTGCTACCATTGAAGATATCATAAGTTGAGGCAAGTCATATACTAGCTGTATGGATGTGTACATTTTAATTTGAAAGTTTGCCCAAAATCCAAGTAAACATATTTATTTATTTCAATTTGATGTGATTAGATTTTGTATCATTGGAGATATGCATCTCTCTTCCGATAATCTTGTGAAAGCCAAAGGAATATGATGATAAAAAAAAGTCCCAATTATAACTGGTAAGAACTTAAAATCAAAAGTTAGTTCTAAATTCTACTCTTTTGACAATTTAAGAAAAGAAACACACAATTTCCTTGTCAATTACCTTTATTTATTGTATGAAAATAATTTTTTTTTGGAAAGAAGAGATAGTGAGAGTGAGAGACCAGACAAGACAGTGGGGGTGGAAGAAGTAAGTAATGAAAATGAAAACGAAAAAATAGATTTTGTATCATTGGATATACGAATATCTCTTCTAATAATGTTGTGAGAATCAAAAGAGACGATGATAAAAAATTCTCAATTATAATTGGTAAGAATTTAAAATTAAAAGTTAATTCTAAATTCTATTCCCTTTAAAATTTAAGAAACAGTCATAAAAACTCATTAACATGTCCAATTATACAAATTTCAAGAAGAAGCATTATTATATGCAATGAAGTCTTAAGAATCTTTAATATAAATAGTTAAAAATTGTGGTGTAGTAATTTTTTTATGGAAATAAATTAAATGTTCCATTAATGATATAGATAATAAATGGATATTGGGTGAGGGTATATTGGGAATTTAGCTAAATACTATTGGTAAAATTATAGTCAAAAGTTTTTTTCACAATCCTTCATTTTTAAATAGGGTAAAAATTATATTTACACCACAATTTTTATTTCTTGTACCACATTTTCATTATATTTAATGTTCTTAATCTGTGCTCACTACAACACTTGTGTCGCTAATAGTTTTTCATGTCATTCTTATCCTCAAGTTTTTCATTAATTAACAAAAATTGTATTTGATAACAGTTTTATGTCCAAAAGTTCGTTGAAATGACGTAAAATAACTTATTTTTTCATCTTATGTATTAAAAAAAAAATATTTTTCTTCCATTTTAAAGCATAAAAATAGTATATTTTGATATAAATCATTATTATGAACGAGACGTACTAATATCTCATGGCAAGTAAGGTTTGAAAGCCGATTTTTCATCTTTAATCTACCTCTCGACCAACTATTCTAATTTAATTATTTCGTTCAAATAATACATATAAAGTTTCTTTATCACACAAATGAGCTTGTTGATTCTCCAAAGAGTCGAAGATACTCATTTATTTTAGCAACACTGCATTTTCATCATAAAATTTCTAGCTTTAGGATATGCTATTTGAAGAATTTCCTTGATTGGTTCATATTTGCACCACTAATCATGAAACCAATATGGAATTAAAGAATTGAAATTTCTATTAAAGTAAAGGAACCAAGATATTGAGTAAATTGCTTTTTGTTTGTAGAAACATTAATATAACACACTCATTTTGTTTTTAAATATATAATCGAAGTCAGTCCTGATCAATTGTAATGTCTCCACATTGGATCAAGAACATGGTCAGAAGGATCAAAACTGCTATTTTTCATATGTAAAGAATTGATTTTATTTTTTTTAGCCCAGTTTTAAAATATTTTTAGTCCAATTCTGAATCTATCCCTACATATCTCCGCATACTTTGTTTTTATTATTAAAAATAAATGAGTTAATAAATAAATTTAATCCTCAGTATTATATAATTCAAAGGTTTGTCTATTCATGTAAACAATCCTTAAATCGCTATACACTGAAACCCGATATCACACTCTTTAGCGTTTTAGCAACAATCACCGCCGGCAAATTTTCACTCTCTCTGCACCCCACTCTCCCCTTCGCCACGTTTCATTCACCTTCTCATGGGTCCCACCCCCAACGGCCGCTCCACCTCCCCTAAACGCTTTTCGAATTAAACCTGCCCCCATTTCTCTCTCTCATCGCCGCCGTCAAAATCTAATCCGGCGATACAGAAAACGTATTATATTTATATCTAATTTATTTTCACAATTTCCATTTTTTCTACCTTTTTTGCGGTTACGGATATTGCTGTCACTACTATTTATTGCCGTTTCGATCAGCTTCGCGATCCGCGTGATTACTTTTGAAGGTTTACTTTTACTCCACATGAATAAAATAAACAGCTGAATTTTCGATCTAAATGTTATGTAAGTTTTTTACTGAATAATGATCTGATTTTTTTCAGTGTACAGATATTTGGTAATGCTTGCTTGAGTGATATATCGACGATCATCAACGATTTGGAGAGGGTTTTGGGTGATCGATAGATTGCGATGTCTGGACCGTTGGATCGATTTGCGAGGCCTTGTGAGTAAAAATTTGTTTCTTGTAATCGTGTTGACTTTTTAGAGTTTATGCGGTTGTTTTCTGTATGAACCAAATGTAATTAGATGTGTATCACTATCATTAGAGCTTCTGTCTATGAAATCCTTTATCTTGTTGAAGTGATTTTTGTTGCGAATTTTTTATTATGTTTTTGCTAATATTGGCCGTTTCAGATTTATAAAAATTAAAGAAATTAGGTGAAGTTAGGATGGGATTGAACTTTTCTACTTCGATGAAATATCTGGATCAAAATTGTGCTGTTACTTTTTGAGGTGTGTAATAACGCCTGACACCCCACTTTTAATTTTTTCGCTAAAGTACTTCTCTTTGCATTGGAAATACTCTTTAAAGGTATTTCTTGAAGCCCTCTTCCTTTGATGTTTAATTTTAGATATTCTTGTGCTGCAGCTACAATGCTGTTTTTGTTTGTTCTCAATTGGGAATGATTATGTATGTTTGTAACTGGTTAAATGGCATGACTAGAATTGAGTATTGTGGAGACGCATACCCTCTCTGACTCCATTCATGGAACTAGGTTATGTTTTCTCTAGACCTTGGTTCCCTTCCCTATAAATTTTAGTTTAGAGGTGGAAGCATCAGTTGGCACCTAAAAGTTGTGCATTAGATTAATTTCTAACGAGGATTAATTACCAAAATAACTAATTTGAGCCACGATATGAGATTTATTATTTCACAAAAGCGGAATACTATTTTTTCTGATAAAATTTTATTGGACTCGTTTAACTTGGGGTTTCTTCTATGAATGAAGCTGTCATTTTCTTTTACTTTATATAACATTCTTTTTACATCTCTATCTGCCTTCTGCATAATAGGCTTTGAGGGCTCATCAGGTAACGATGAGAGAAGAGAAAGAAAATCTGATTTTGAGAATTCCGAGGATGATAGGAAGACAAAAATTGGTTCCCTGAAAAAGAAAGCACTGAATGCATCCTCGAAGTTTAAGCATTCTCTGAAGAAGAAGAAGAAGAAAAGTAGAAGCAAGAACGAAGGTCGAGTCAGCTCCGTTTCGATTGAGGATATCCGAGATGTCGAGGATCTAAAAGCTGTTGATGCATTCCGACAAGCCTTATTGTCAGATGAATTATTACTAGCGAAGCATGATGATTACCATACGATGTTGAGGTTCTTTATTCTTCTCTCTTTACTACTTTTTCTGAAATGCCTACATTACAATGTAATCTATAAAGATCATCCTGGACCATAACATTGTTAGAATGGATTTATGATGGAGGTCACTCAAACATTACCTTTCATTTGGATGGATTATCCGCCACATTTTGAATTGGAATATCACTTGAGTCTCACCAATTTAGATGTATGCACCCTTTTCCAGAGGATGCATAGGGATGAAAATTCTCCGTGGCATCAAAAATTTCATTAGGATCATCATTACAAGCTGGGATCATGTTTGACTCTATTTTGATAATGACCTTCTATAATTCTTCTGCAACTCAATCTTGTTGTTTATAAAATTAAACCTTTCATCTTTTAGTGAGAAAAATATATTTCAATTTTCCTAAAGAAAACTCTATTATATAGTTATGAGTGGTTCTGACTTGAGGGATTACTTTTAATTATTTCTTGTATGTTATGAGTTTCCTGTTAGCGGGGGAAATTAATGACAATCTGACCGAGATTAATGTTTCTTATAAAAGCTTAATACATCCTTGGAAGGTTAGTGGCCCACTGCTAGCTTCATACTACACAGATTTTACCAGTTTTACATATATAAAACGGACAGAAGCACATAAATATAGCTTTGCGTTTCTTTTTGTGAGCTCTTGGTTCTGTGTTTAATCTCCCTTCTGATTCAGTAGTCAATCTATCTTTTTTAAGATTATTGACTAAATTTGCTTGCAGGTTTCTGAAAGCAAGGAAGTTTGACATTGAGAAAGCCAAGCAGATGTGGGCTGATATGATTCAATGGAGGAAAGATTTTGGTGCTGACACAATTTTGGAAGTAATTGACCCAATAAGTTTCAAACTTGCTTGTAGACCTGGCAAAATTCTTGCTTTCTTTTAGTGATGATTTCCTTTATGGATTTATGTTTTGTTTTCTGCCAGGATTTTGAATTTAAAGAGTTGCATGAAGTTTTGAAGTACTACCCGCATGGCTATCATGGAGTTGATAAGGAGGGAAGGCCAGTGTACATTGAGAGATTGGGGAAAGTTGATCCAAATAAACTTATGCAAGTTACGACCCTGGACCGTTACATAAAATACCATGTGAGAGAGTTTGAGAAATGCTTTGCAATTAAGTTTCCTGCGTGTACCGTTGCTGCCAAAAGGCACATTGATTCAAGCACAACAATTTTGGACGTTCATGGTGTTGTATGTTTCATGCTGTTCAGTTTTCATTTTTTACAAATTGTCCTTGCTGCACATACGTTATTGGTCATTATTAATTTCTACATGTAATGTGTCTCATTGTTAAATTTCAGGGTTTGAAAAACTTTACTAAGAGTGCGCGTGAACTCATTATGCGGCTTCAGAATATTGATGGCAATAATTACCCTGAAGTAAACTTTTAGATTTAGCTTGATTGGTGCTATCATTCTTTGCAAAGTCTTGGGTAGTGATATATTTTATACTTGCTATTTTTGCAGACGCTCCATCAAATGTTTATCATTAATGCTGGTCCAGGCTTTAGACTACTGTGGAATACTGTAAAGAGCTTCTTAGATCCCAGAACCACTACGAAAATTCATGTATGTCAATATTCTTCCTTTAGTCGTTTGGAAGCATCGTTGTTCTAGTCAAGTGACTGACTGCAATTAATGAATATCTCTATTTTTTCTTAAATTTATCAAAGGTTCTTGGAAACAAATACCAGAACAAGTTGCTTGAAATAATAGATTCCAGGTAAATGGGATTGAAATCATTCTTATCAGAGATGATATTCATCATCTTGCTTATGATGACATTACTGTTGAATTCTGTTTGAATGACTCAGAATTTGTTTTTGTGGGCTAATGCAGTATGTTGCCAGAATTCTTGGGAGGAATGTGTACCTGTGCAGATCAAGGGGGTTGCCTGCACTCTGATAAAGGACCATGGAAGAATCCAGAGATTCTAAAGGTCCTTACTTAGCCTGCGAAAAGTATTTACTATTTACTATAAAAAATGAATGCATTACATGTATTTTCCTAGTCAGCAGTTGCAGTTAAATGTTTTTATTTATGTAAAAAAACTTATTGCTTGACATCCTGGTGCAGATGGTACTCAATTGTGAAGCACTACGTGCCAGGCAGGTTGTTAAAATTCTCAACAGTGAGGGGAAGGTCGTTTATGCTAAACCACACTACCCAATGGTATGTCTTGTGTGTCATTTTGAATGGTATGTTAGATTTAAGTGAGAAAATCTTGGGTTTATTTGGCTGTTGACTCAGGTTAAAGGCAGTGATACTTCTGCTGAGTCTGGTTCTGAAGCTGATGATATTGCTTCACCAAAGGCCATCCAGAGTTATTCTCATTTTCGCTTGACTCCTGTTCGTGAGGAGGTACTGTTCGGTACTGCGTTCATTTTTACAATTAGATGTTCCAGTTTTCTTTGGTTGGGAAGTATAAAATTGGACGTGGCTTAATTGAAAACCTCTATATTTGTGTTAAGTGAATTTGAGCTTTTGCAGAATTTTAGGGAAATTTCAGCAGAAAGAACCTTTATAATTTTATTGTCATAGTAGGTGGATCAAAATTGACTATGCATTTTGTAATCGACAATCTCAAGTAATATTTGACTTATTGCACAGGCTAAGACCAGTGGAACACCAACCTATTATGGTAACTTCTCAGGATATGATGAATATGTTCCCATGGTTGACAAGGCTGTTGATTCTGGATGGAAGAAGCAAGCATCCTTTCAGAAGTATAGTGTCATAAAAGGTTGGTCTCTGAAGTACATGGTTAGAAGTTTTTTAATCTGCATTTGTTGCCCTACAATCATTTTTAAAATAACACATGGTCATCCAATTCCTGCTATTCTATAGCCCCATTTTTTTTTTTTTTTTGTTGAGAATGTATTTTGGAATAGTATATTGATGGAAAATGTGTGGTTAAAAAATAAAGAAAAGTTTTGAATTTGCGTATAATATTATTTTATTGAAGAATTTGTGGTTGAAAAGTAAGAGAGAAAAATGTATTTTGAAAAAAAATGGGGAAAAAACAGGGCTGTGTTAGTATTTGAATATTGATGTGTATATCTAAGTCATGTAAATCTCTCTCCCCCTCTCTTCCTATCTCTCTGGAACAATGATACAAACATTCTGCGAAGAAATGTTGCAACATGTTTATCTGACATTTGTGGGTTAATACTCTAAATAGTCACTAAACTTTGCTAAAAGTTTCCAGGAGGTCACTGAACTTTAAAACTTCCCTAATTAGTCACTGAGCTTCGCAAAAAGTTCCTAGGAGGTCACTGAACTTCAAAACTACCTTAAATAGTCACTGAACTTTTCCAAACTACCATAATTAGTCACTCAACTTTGCAAAAAATTCCTAGGGGGTCACTAAATCATTGATGTATGGGGTCACAATTTGCAAAGTTTGGTGACCTTCTAGGAAGTTTTAGCAAAGTTCAGTGACTATTTAGGGTAGTTTTGAAGTTCAGTGACCTCTTAGGAACTTTTTGCAAAGTTTAGTGACTAATTAGGGAAGTTTTGAAGTTTGATGACCTCCTGGAAACTTTTGACAAAGTTCAGTGACTATTTAAGGTATTAACTCGACATTTGTCACCAAACTGTTATTATTGTCAGTGAGAAATTCATTTATTTTTAACCTTAGTTCGCATAGATGAGAAGTATACAGTTACATAAATGACCAGAAGAAAAGGTATACAAAATTTATTATTTGTCTTTCTATTTTTGCTTACAGCTATAGGTTGGGTAGTTTTTGTTTACTCTGTTATATTTTTCAAGTGTTCATTTATCAAAATTTAGCCTGCTGTGAAATGATTAATTTCTGCCATATTGGTTGGATATGCTAATCCTGTTCTTGTCCTGCAAAATAAACAATTGAATCTGATGTAGGATCAGAATGATCCGCCTAGAATGCTTTAGTAATACTGGCCATTCATTTTTCATTCAGAGACATTTCCAGCACCTGATTCTCAAAAGGCTCCAGAAGGACTGCATGCTCGGATTTTGGCCGCTCTTATGGCATTCTTCATGACCCTTTTCATGCTCTTCCGCTCAGCATCATGCCGTCTCACCAAAAAGGTTCCTGATGCATCATCACATCAACAATCAATCATTACGGAAATTGCCTTTGACGCAAGCCCAAAGGAGGAATTTCGACCGCCATCTCCAACACCAGCTTTTTCAGAGGGAGAAATGCTTTCTTCTGTAATGAATAGGTTGGACGAACTTGAGGAAAAGGTTAATGCTCTTCAAACAAAGCCATTTGTAATGCCCTGTGAGAAAGAAGAACTGCTGCATGCTGCTGTTTGTCGAGTGGAAGCCCTAGAAGCAGAGTTAATTGCTACCAAAAAGGTAGATTCTGTATTAACAATCTTTCATTTGCAACCAAAATCAATTCTTCTGTGACAACATAGATTCAGTGCAGTTGTACTCTGCATAGTTGAGGATTTGCTTTTACCTAGAATTCCGTGTTATCCATGTCTTTCTAAAGGCACTTGAACTGATATCGGATTGGATTTTCACCTTGGCAGGCTCTGCATGAGGCTTTGATTAAGCAAGAGGAGCTGCTTGCTTATATAGATGGTCAAGAAGAAGCCAGACTTCAGGTGAGTTAATCAGTTCTTTGTTCTTGATATACAATAGAAGTTTTAACATTTGAATTATGAGCGTTACTCTTTATCAAACGGGCACATGCCACTCACTTTTAAGTTAATCAGATCCTCCCTACAATTTATGAATCGTAAAAATTTTGCACAAGCTCGTACTTTGTTAAGTATATCTCTGTCTCGGTGGTGCACATAATTGTAATCTAGTCATTCAAGGATAACATGGTTTTGTTTCGGTGATATGCAGAAAAAGAAGTTTTGTTGGTAAGGTGTGAAGTATGGATGTTCGATGTTCCAGGATATGTTTGGCTGTGTTGATGTATAATAAATATCCTCGATCATACTGCGGTGTGTAAATTTCATTGATGTTGGATTTCTATCCTGTTTTGAGAAAGGGAATTGAACTTGTGAACTTACAAATTACAGTTGTTTCTGAAAATTACTGAAAGAATTTTATAAGTGAGATTAAACTCTCTCTCCAACTGGCTTTTATGGCTTGCATTATGTACAGCCATGAATTATGAACATATACACCACTTGTTTAATTCCTGGTTTCGTTCAAATCCTAAAAAGTCTAAACTTGCATCTCCTTGCTTTATTTTTCTAGGAGTTTTTCTTACTGGTCTTTTTTTTTTTAATTTTAATTTTGTTAAAATGAAATTTAAAAAATATGTCACTGAGTCTGAGTCTGAGTCTGCAAAGTATGTTGTAATTTTATTTTACTTAAATATTCTCTAAGCAACTGCTATAAAGTTGATGAGAGTGAACTCTCTTTGAATGGACTATACACTCTCATTACTTTGCCTAATTTGACATAAATGCTTAGATGATTTAAAATTCGTGCAAAAAGAATAAAATGTCTAAATGGACTGGAAGTTATCGTCAACTTTACCTAGTTTGATGATAATATCTCGATAGTTTGAAATTAGTGCAAAAAATTAAGTAAGATAATTTGGTAAAACTTTTCGAAATAATAGCGAACAAAATTCATTCTCCCCGAAGTTGAAATTGCTTGTCATTGTAGTGCGCCGCTTGGTTCATTGTTGTCTCTAGAGTTGTAAAATTTGGACTTGAGAGTTTGACGTGCCTTGAAACTGGCCTAGGCTTGAATGTCCTAACTTAGACTTATAAGGGATGTACGTTCTAACGTTTCATCAAAAAGTACAGTGACTTAGACGTAGGTAGTTACAAACCTCTATTATTTTTTTCTAAGAAGGAAAAACATTTAACATTAGTCACCATAAATTATATAGTTTTATTGATGTCCCCTTGTTTGTTGACAACTTAACCCGCTAAAAAATGTAGATTGTGTCAATCCCATAAGCAGCTCAAATCAAGGCCAACATCTCGATTAAGAGTATACTTGATACATGAATTCAAATCAATTCCATTAGTTACAATTTCGTCCTCATTATCCAAGACAAGCCAAATTCATAACAAAAACATCTGAAAGTTAACATTCTTTTTTATTTATTACTATTGATTATTCTCAAATTATGAACTTATAGAAAATACCTAAAATACTTAACGAACTTTTGTTCGAATTACCCTGTTTGATGACCTTCATTGTGTAAAAAATGATGTTTTGAATATTAATTTTTTGGAAAATGTGTGGCTAAAAAGTGTGGAAAAATTTTGAATTTATGTGTAAAATATTTTATTGTATGAATGTATGGTTGAAAATAATATATGAAATGATTTTTTTTTAAGGGAGTCAAACAGGGGATACATCACTCTATTGTTGTCAAATTGATTTTAATCCTTTTTCCATATGCAAAGATTCCAACCAAATAGATAATACACTACACGTTAGATATACATGTTGGAATTTTGTGTAAAAACTAGGTTTTGATCAATTTTTAAATGATTATTTAGGTGAAAATTGTTCGTTGGTGAATGAGAAATTAAGTCAAATTTAAGTCACTTAAATACATAAAATTGTTGGAAAATTATGTAGAATATTATGATATTTTCTAGAACTGTTTGGCTAAAAGATACATCTTTCCATTTAAAAGATCGTGACTTTTGGAATTATTATTTTTCAATAGGTGTGTCTCATCTTATGTAAACACAAATTTCAATAGTTGAATCTTTCTGTAGAGTTCCAACAACTACGTATAGACCCCATTTGGAATTTTCATTCATCCTTGCATTATCATCTTAATGCATACTCAATTCAAAATATTTTAGCAATTACTTTTGAGTAAATTTTTATCTAAAATAGATTATGTGTTAAGTAATGACAGGTATGATTGCCATCATTGATAGATTTTTTAATTTAAGAGTTTCAATCACATCCTACTCGAAGGAGATATTATTAAATCTCTATTTAAATGTTTAGTTAAATGATCTCCTAAGCTCTCTATTTATTTAACATAATTTAGGAAATTATTCCACTCTTAATTAATTTCTATATGTAGTCATGTTTTAGACTCATATATCTAGAGTTTCCATTGTATACCTCGTTCTATACCTTGGCTAATGTGGCTTGACTATCACACATGATAACTACTGAATATGTATTCTTCGGTCCCAAAGGTATCTCATAAAATAGATCTTTAAGCCACTTTGTTAGTGGCTTGACTATCACACATGATAAATACTGAATATGTATTCTTCGGTCCCAAAGGTATCTCATAAAATAGATCTTTAAGCCACTTTGTTTCTTTTCCGGTATTTGATAATGCTACAAATTCAGAATTCATGTTGAGTGTGTTACACACGTCTGTTTCTTTGATTTTCCAAGAAACGACACCTCCACCTAGAGTTAACACCCATCCCGAAGTAGATTTACCCTTTCATGTACTGGTTATCCAACTAGCATAGATAAATCCTTATACTATAGTCGAGAATTTAGTATATTGTTGACTTAAATTCTTGATTTTCTTTATATAGCCAAAACTCTTCCAATGGCCTTCCAATATTTCTTGCTCGGATTACCAGTGAACCTATTAAGTTTACTAATTGCAAATGTTATATCCGGTCTTGCTCATTGAACTGCATATATTAGACTCCATATAGCACTTCCATACTCCAATTGAACAATTTCTCTTCATCATTCTTTATAAATTTTAAACTTGAATCAGAAGAGGTACTAAATCCTTTTATGTTCAAATATTTGAACTTATTAATCACATTCTCAATAATTATTAGTTTTAAACTTGGATAAAAAGAGGGACTAAATTCTCTTACATTAAAATGTTTGAACTTATTAATCACATTCTCAATACAATATGATTGATTTAAGAAAAAAAACCACCACTAGTTTTTGTAATTTTGATACCCAATATAGTATCCACTTGTCCAAAATCTTTTATCTTGAATGTGGAACATAGAAACCTTCTATTTTTTTTGATTCCATCCATGTGATTACTCATAATCAAGATGCCATCAATATACAAGCAAATGAAGATTATATATTCATCACACACTTTAGCATTTATCTACACTATTATTTATGAAACCAAACGAATTAATAGTTAAGTCAAATTTCTCATTCCATTTTTTAGGTGCTTACTTTAAATCATATAATGATTTCATTAACTTGCATACTTTATGTTCATTTTTGAGTAAACCCTTCAGGTTGTTACATATAAGTCTCTACATTGAGATCCACATTTAAGAATGTCGTATTGACATCCATTTGATGAACATGCAAGTCATGTATAGAAGCTAATGCTAATAATATCCTAATTGATGTTATTCTAGCTATTGGTACATAAGCATCAAAATAATATATGCCTTCCTTTTGTCGATAACATTTAACTACTAATCTAACTTTAAATGTATTAAGAGGACTATCAACAATATATTTTCTACTAAACACCCATTTATATCTAATAGGTTTGGATCCAATTGGTAAATTGACAAGTTCCCATATATTTTTTTGACATAATTGAATACGTTTCATCTTTAATTCCATTTTTTTCAAAAGATGCTATTACGAGAAGCCATAGCTCCTCTATAAGTTTTAAGATCGATTTCCACTTGTTGAACAAAATGAATTGTTCTTACAACATTCTTTTCATTTCCCTCTGCTACGTAAACTGAAACAATTTGAGAATCAATCTCATTCAGTCCTAAAGTCTTTTCTATCTAAGTTAACTTTTCGACGTTTACTAGATTCATTAACATCTTTAGAAGATGTTTCGTCTTATGCTCCATTAGTGTTTGAGATCTTTTTATGAGTTTCTCTTAATTCATTATCTGAAGATAGTGAATTATCAAAGAACTCAACGTTATTAGATTTAATTATCACATTGGTCTCTTTGATTTACTATTATTAGCATAACCAACAAAAGCACATTTGATGCCTTTTGGACCCAACTTGATCATATTAGAGTTCATGTTCTTATAATATGCAAAACACCCCCCACACATTGAAATATCAAATATTTGATTTTCTTCATTTCCACAATTCATAAAGAGAAACCTTTGTAAATTTAGAAAGAATCATGTTTGATATTCTACATGCACTCAACAATACTTCACGCTATAAATTAAATGGCAACTTAGCATAAGTTAACATGACATTTATCATTTTAACTAATGTTTTATTTTTTCTTTCAGCCCAATCATTTTCTTTGAATGTCCTAGGTGCAGAACGTTGATGTACCATACCTTGTTATTCACAAAATGAATTAAAATCACTAGAAAAATATTCACTTCATCTATCACTTCTTAGAGTTTTTATTTTCTTACTTAAGTGATTTTCAACTTCATTTTTAGATGTTTTAAATATATCAAAAGCTTCACGTTTATTTTCATTAAGCCCTCGTTTGACACCCATTTTTTGCCAATTTTTTCAATCCATTTCGCTACAGTTGTGGGCCCCATCTTATACCACAAGGACGGATTGTCTACCATTACATGACATTGGTTGTCAGATGAGTTTCATATTTTTTAACATTTCGAATCTGCCCTTGAATTGATGGTAGGTGGCTTTCAAATGTTTGTGTTAGAATGATGGAGGGCAAGGATGTAAACAACCAATTGAATTTGGGGGCGAAATTGTCCAAAAAAATAAAATAGCATTAAACATCCCGACACAATGGTTGAACGACATTAATTATGCTGACAAAAAATTCTGAATTTACACATTCAAATGTCAGACGTGAACTGTAGCAAAATGAGATGAAAAAAAAAGGTGTCAAACGGGGGCAATAAACATAAGTGCATCTAGAGTGATCATCTATAAAAGTAATGAAATACATATTTTCACCTCTAGTTAACATACCATTTAATACACATATGCCTATATGAATTAAT